CCCCTTTTGTTGAACATGCTGTATGAACAGTCACAACATAGTTGAGGCTCAACCCTTTCCCCCTGTGCCGTTCTGTTGCTGCTTTCTGAACAAAGAGGACCGCTTGTGTCCGCTCCACTTTCTGTCAGCATCCTTCCCCTCACCTCCTGACACGGAGCAGCATCGTGCTCGTTGTGCTCCCTCTGGTTAGCTGACTCACACTCCACCAGACCCTCTGAGCTCATGCTTTCAGCGCCTTCTCTCACACAATGTAGTTCATTTTGTTACCAAGGTCCTCTATCGTTCCGCAATGTCAACATTGTAGAAACTCCAACCCAGAACCACGTGGACTGTAAATTCAGACTGCCACCTGCTAACAACAGAAGGCTGCTGGGCCATGCGGGTCCTTACTCTTGTCTTTATCTTGGCAGTGTCTCTTCTTAGCCCCCCCCTCACCCCCCAATGTGCAACTGAACAAGTGCTACTCTGTTTATCCCCCCACTGGCTCTTGTTGTCGCTTTATATGCTGCCAACTAGCTATTGTAGCCTGTGTTAGCCAGGAAAAACCGTGTGCCAGCAGTAATGTGTAACCACCAACAAAACCATTCAGCGTGTCTGTCTTACAGTGAGTGAAACTTGTCTTTAACATTCTCGTAGCTATTATACCACCCCCAGCTCTGCCAAATGCCAAAGTTTGTGTGTGGCTCAGGCAATCCGAAGCAATGTGTTCATCACATCAATCACATCCGAGCTGGCTTTTTGTGCACCAGTGAAAATGAGTGACGGATGATCTCCTTTTTTTAGAATTGCGATCTTAAGTTGACATTCTAACATCATATAGTTGAATTAAAACACTCGCATGTAGGCGTTGGGTGTGGCAGCTCAAATGTTTCTCAACTCTGAGACTGTAGAACTGGCCCCCCCTTTTCCTGGCCTCCAGTGTTGTTCTATTTCAGTAGAGTATGTTTAGCCATACAGTTGTTCTGCTGACTGAGCTGCAGTCTGTATTCTTAGAGACAGCCAGTACAAAGTTACAGCGTTAGCTTTTCCAACCTCACATGCTAGGCGACTGTGACCGTGGCCTTGGCCGAGCTGAATGTCCCGAGCTAATTTGGTCCCGCTGCTGCTAGCATGCTAGCCGGCTAAGAAGTTCTATTAATAGCTGCCGAGGTATTATCTCCACCGCAGCAGATGTGGTCACGGTTACAGCTAGCTGATACTCTCTCATCGGGTCCAGTTGGTCCACCTCTGCAGATGCACTTCCAGAAGTGGGACCCGCCTGCTAGCATTGCTGCACCACTTCCAAGCTAGACGTAACGGGGCAAGCTTATGCAAGTAGTGATGACGTACATAAAAGCATCGCTTTAGGTTTAAGGCGTGAACCCAAAGCCTTCTGGGAGGAGTCAAAAGTGTCGACATGAAGTCATAAATCACTGAAATGTGAAGGTTTCCCTCAATAGAGGAGCACTCTAAAGAACTACTTACTCTATGCTGCTGTGTTTGGAAAAATAAAACGGACCCCAACTGTGCTTTTTAAAGATTTTTCATGAATAGCTAATTGCTAGTCATAGAAGTAGTAATTACTGAATCGCCATAAAGAAAATAAAAAATTACTTGCAATCACCACACAGACCCTCACATACATGCAAAGACCACCTATGATGTTCCTCGACTCTATTTCACACTTTTGATTTTTTTTTTTTTTTTTTTAACGAGCAGCTAGGATTGCCAAATTGAGCAGCCATTACCGAAGCGTTGGCAGCATTTTGCCCGTGGGTGTTCATTTCCCAGCTGTTGAACTGTCTGTGTACATATTGCAGCGCTGTCTCACCACCCGAGTCTCTTCTTTTGTTCTCTACCTCCCACTCACGCTATCCTCCCTCTCCTCTCCATTCTGTGTCTCCCCGTGCTGCGTCCGTCTGTGGGTTAGGGCTATAAAAAGGATGAACTCTGCCAGGTAGCAGAGTGGGTGGGGACACAGGCATGCACACAGTCATCCCACCCAAACCCTGTACTGCCCAGAAAAGACCTCACAGGTGAAACATCCCCTTATCCACCTGTCATTACCTCCCTCCCTTCTTTTTTTATTATCTCCACACCCACACCGCTGTGGCCACTCTTTGCTTTCTCCTCCTCCATTGTCCTCTTCACCCTTCACCCACCGTCAGTTCCCCATGTTGCTGTTAGGTTTTTAGTTATTTCTGTCCTCCACGGCTGTACTAACCCTGTATGACTCTAAACTTGCCTGTCTCGGTCCTCTTCCACCCCCCCCCCCCCCTTTCCTTGTTTATCATCTCCTTCATCCCTCCTTCGTCTCCAATAGCTCTCCTTCTGCCCTCTTTTCCTCGACACAAACCTATTCTCCTGCCCATAATTTTTGCTCTTCTTCTCTCTACTCCTCTGCTCCACAGGCCACCCCATAGTTAAACACAAACCTGTTACCAAGGCAACTGCTCAGCACAATAGGAAACAGCAGCTTCTCTCTCTCTCACTCACACACACACACACACACACACACACACACACACACACACACACACACACACACACACACACACATCTGAGTTCACTTTAGTGTCTGGTGGTTCTTATGTGACCAAGAACGTCTGTGCAGCTCTGACAATAATAGACGTGTTGCACATGGAGGGCTCAGACCACGGAAAGACGGACAGAGAGCCGAAGTGTTCTCTGCTCATTCCTCATATAGTGGAATGGAAAGATTGTGTGCG